GTCGAACCGGACGGTTCGGACGGTTTTCATAAACCGTTCCATCCCTAATATATGTATATAGTTCACGCAATAAATCCAAAAAAATGGAATAAATAATCACATGCTACTTTAAGTTTCATACCAGCATTTATTTGGTTAGCTAAATGTTTCATTCTGCATATGTTTTAATGACTTATGTAAACATATGATACCTTTTGAAAAAGACTGAAAATGTCTCTAATGGCTTTGTTTATTTTACAAATAAAATCATAGATCTTGACTGTAATGGAGATGTAAAACAGGAAAGAAAATACTTTCCCAGACCAAACAAGTGACTAGGGAACTTTCCAGTGTCTACTTGCCTCATTTCAACAAGAGAAATGGTTTAGCAACTAGGCTGGGTCAGTGGTACCACTGTGATTTTTTTTTTTACCAGCAGAAACAAATACCCATTTTCTAACCTCTCTTAAGGGAACCAATGCCTTTTATGGCTTTTTAAATAGCTATTTTAAAGCTCAAGTCTAATTTCTTTTGACAAACCTCTACTGGAAGAGTTTTAGATAGCATTGATTGATTGATTAGTTGGTATATTTGAACTGGTTCGACTTGATAAATGATAAAAGCAGGTAGTTAAACAAATAAAACAGTTGGACCACAACTTTAACAGTTTAACTTCAACAGTCAAAGACAGTTTTAAAAAAATGGGTTTTTAACTTAGACTTACAAGAAAGAGTTTGAGGATACCAGAAGCTGAAATGATAGATCTCTAGGGTCTCTTAGGGTGAGGAGCTTTATCGTCCATCTGTAGAATACTTGAAATCCGACTGCAAGGACTTTATTTCCTTTCTACCTTTGAAACTCATCCAAATCCTTCAGACTGAGTTGGAGAGAGAGTAACTACAGTAGATGAATGTGCACTATTGGACCTTACTCGGGTAACTCAGGTGACGTAATCTCAGAATTAAGATTAATTACCAAAAAAAAGGCTTCACAACACCTTCATCAGGTTGACCAGAGAACTTTACTTTTACAAACTAGACTTTGTCATTTGTTTTATGTAATCTAATATTGAAATCTATTCCTTGAAGAGGCAAAAAACAGATAATTACTGTATAATTGGAGTAATAATCTCTGATACCTTTGTGCTTTAGTTCAGAGGTATTATCAAAATGAACCATTGATGCAGTTGTTTGAAGGCTTGCAGAGTAATCAGCAAAATAATCAGGCAGCTGAATCAGTGTTGCCAAGCAATTATCGATAAGAAAGGTACTTGTTTTGAGTGCAGCTCTCACTCCATGTCCTCTGTCTTCACTCCAAACAATGAAGATGTAATCCCTCTATGTGGTACGCAGCATGATCGCTTTTATTAGCTGCTGAGGTTTGGGGACCGAGAGGACCAACTTGTTAAAATAGTTTTTGTTTTTTTTGTTTATTTTAGCTTATTTCACATTGAGGTATTGAAAATTATTGATTTGGCAGAAATTCTATCTTTTACAAACTGAAATAAAAGTTTTAAAGCTAGATATTTTTTTTCCTAGTCCGAGATTAAACCAGACTAAACCTTACCTTTTGAAAGAGAGCTTTTTCCTCCAGTCTCTTATATACTTTTTAAAGTAACCTAGAATTACATTTTTATATTTATCCCACATCCTAGAATAATTGAGAATGGCTACCATGCAGAAAGCAGCATGGAACATCGTTTTCGAGTGTAGCCAGTGGTTTTCAATAGAATACTGCTTAAATATAGGAAGTTATAATTCAATTAGCATTCGCTATTAGCATGAACTTTTTGTTTTTGTTGTTTCTTTTTTGTTCCTTTAGATGCTCCAAAGATTTGGGGTTTTGCGGTATCTTGGACATGGGAAGGAAACCCAGCCAACTTATCTTGTCTGGTGAGGGCCAACCCCAGAGCCTCGGTGGTTTGGTACCGAGACGGAGTCGAGCTGCCAAGTGAAAACTCAACCAACATACGGATCTTCAACACCCATAATGCCAGCCATCTGGAGGTGATGCACCAAACATCTTTATTTGCTATCCTGCAATACAAGAGCTAAGAAAGATGGGGATACACTCTTAAAAAAATAAATATAATACCTAATCATGAAGATCACTACATATTTATTATTATAATAGTAGGCAGTCACACACACTCTCAGTGAGGATCGAACACCAATAAACGTCATAGCTTAGAAAGCTAATGACTCAGCTTTGTTTTTAAGCACATAATGCAATTGGTGGAGTGGAAGGAAGAAGTTTGGTTGAAAAGGATGCACAAAAAACAACAATGGCTTACAGATTTTATTTTCTTATCAGCTTTCAAAAGTCACAGAATTAAACACTTTTTACACATATAATCGTAACCCTTTAAAGCCCGATCCAAGAAAAAAACAAAATAGAAAATAACTTTTTTTTGGCCTTTTAACAAAATATGTAAAAAGAAAAAACAGAAATACATTTTTGATATTAATAATTTATTACTATGCGATAAGTCAAGATTATTTTTTGTGTAGTCTTCTACTGGCTGTTATCAGGTATATCTGATTGTGTTCAATAGGATTTTGAGCAAAGTTTTTACCATTAAATTATGCAAAAGGTGTCAGACGCAAAACATTTCAGAAACCGTTTGTATCAAATACGATACATTTGGCATTATAGGGTTAAAAAGTATTACCCTATGTGGAATGAATCTACCTACATATATGTATACTTGAAATAAATGACCTTTTCAGTGACACTTACTGTATTATTTCACTTATAAATTAATAAGATGTACCCATAGTGACTCTGTTTGTGTTTCATCCTGTGCATATCGTGTTTTCAGCTTTCTTTCTTTCTACATCTTAGATTACACCTGAGTCCCAAAGTGACTTTGGAAGCTACAACTGCACAGCAACTAATGGAAAAGGCAGCGATTCCAAGGAGTTCCTCCTAGTCCAAGCAGGTTGGTTCACTGAGGGGTTAATACATGTAAACCAGTGAATGCATAGAAAATTAATGAAGATTAAATTCAATTTAAATACATTTCCCCATTTGTTTGGCTATTATGATTAAACTATAGTTTTCACTTCTGTGGAGCCAATTACAATGAAATGATTTAAAAGGCTGTAGCAGAGATGTGCTTTCCTCCCCTACCAAAAAGACGGATGTATTATATTTGGTTATTGAAAGGTGGGCAACAGAAAATAAAGTTGCAGAAAAACCCTGTGATGTTCTGCTTTAATTGGAGAAGGAGAGATAAAACACTAGAATCACAGCCTGAAAATAAAGCTTTAAAGTCTTCTCTTATTCTGCAGTGAATTTGGTCGGACCTAATTTCATTTTACATGCAAATTGCCTTGGACCACTTGCAAATGATAGGTCACTAAGGATCTCTAAATGGTGTGTGGCCGAATTAATTGTGGTGACACCTTTGGTGCCATTGTGTTATATCCTGTGGGCTCTTTGAGGTAATTTCCCTGCTTCACTGTGAAACGTCATCAGTTGAGCTGAAGTGGCTTCCTACAGCCGTTGGCCTTTCATGCAGTCTGTATGTCACAATTTGAAGTCAAGGAAACGAAAACATGCTCAAGGAATTAATTTTTTTTCTGAATGTTGGGGTTTATGTCCAAATGATGATAGTGAGTAGCTTTTGACTGTTCATTGAGCCACAGCTGCTAGAGTGGCTGAAGCAAAGACTGTTCCCCCAAGAAAGTAAAATCATCTCTGTTGCAGAGGAGGTCTAACCTGACTCCTCCAGATGGATTTGCTCCGCATATCCATCTGGAAACCTTC